AAAAAAAAAAAAAAAAAAAGTATTCTATCATTTATAATTGGAGCTACTAGTCTATTCAAGTTGAACTTGCATATAAAATGAATATCTGTTGCGAAATTATAAATACTTGGAGCTACTAGTCTATTAAATGTTGCAAATTTAGTTAGGCTTAAACATTGTCACCGACAATTCTGATAGTATGGCCTATTATTAATGGCTTTTCAAATTTAAAAAATATGACACATAAGAATTATTTCTTTAGCCACCTCATCCTTATGGAATTTTTTATTTTAGAAAGAAGGCAAATCAGAATCATTACAAATAAACAACCCACAATATGATATTGTTACATGAAACATATCTGATATAGCATAAAGAGAATTGGAGGTCTTGTGTAGCTCGATTCTTGACCAGAGCTCTCTTTGCCCGATTTATAGGAGTTAGGTTAATCAGGTTGAGGTAGGTTGCTAAGAGCGATAGGTCGAGTTATAGAATTATGGCCTAGATGACCTTAGACCGTGCTTATTGAGTTGTTGTGAGACTACACAACTAACTTTAATGAGGACTTTTCTGAGACCTTGGTTATTGTGTTGTTGTGAGATTACACATCTAGCTCTAAATGTGGACTTTGGGCCGACCCGAGGAGCTAACAGAACATTAATTGTGTGATATCTAATGATAGCATGATTCTGAGGATATTAAAAATTTAAAATATACAAATAAGGTATGTGTATATTTAGTTCCCTGAATAGATAGAACCAGTTTTGCTATGGAGCCATCGGATGGCTCAGTTTATGGAGCCATCCATAGTTATTAACAACTGATGTATTGACGCTTGTCCATCAATAAATACACGTTGTACATGTGTCAATACATAGAGTGAAGGATGTCTCCATAAGGGATCCATCCGATTGTTCCATAGAATTTCTCTAGATAGAACAATTAGTAGCAATGTAATCGTTCTTATATATAAAAATTGAGGTATGGTTATTGTTACATTATGTAATGTTTATTATCATTTAATACACCTCATATACGAGGGAATAACTTGATTGTCGGAGGCTCTACGTCGTGAACATTCCTAATGCTCTTTTAGGTACTCGGACCAGATGATGTACCACGATTCATAAATTCAATACGAGTCTGTCAGTCAGAAATGGGGTTATTTAGCAGATACCTATCAAAAACTCAGTTCTACGTTTGTTTAAATGGGACTACATTTTTTTCCATAATTTGTATTGAATATAACCTAATATCAATGGCGGAGAAGGAAACAACTAACATTGAGAAGAGGGTGGG